TAATATTATTCTTTTTATGAATGACTAACTTTAATTTTTCTGAACCCTTTTTAATTTTATAATGTGATGATTTTAGATGCCTTTTATGTACTTTTGTTACCTTCAGATACATTACCATGTAATGAGATATAATAGTATAGATTAAAAAAAGTCTGCTTTGTGTGAAATTTATTTTTTCTGAAGTATATTTGATAAATGGTTAAAATTATATAAGCTTGTTGAAAAGAGATGGGAATACATTTCTTTTCTACTCAATTGCTCTGTATATATATGAATATATATGTGTATATTACTAATGAAGTTTCTTAAATATTAAAGGTGAGTTTCCACTTTTTAAATAGTTTCTTTCCAATACTGTAGAAATTTAATAAAGTAATTTTATATTTGACTGTCACTTTTTTGCTTTTTAATTATTTGTAGTTACAATTATGTTAGAAATCTATGAACCATGGAAGGAATTGATTTAATATGCATATAGTGAAGAATTTTTTAACACAGTTTTGGTAACCATCTTATTTTCTTGGTACATTGGCAAAGGGAAGAAGTAGTTAATGCTTTCTTAGGTTTGAAGGTTTTAGTCACAATCGTTCTTATTTCTAAACTAAACAAAAATTTTTCTTTGGACATTGAAGGTGGGAAAGAGAATCTTTTAAGCCACAGACAGTTTAAAAACTACACTTAATTATAAGACCCTTTTATGTAAATTTTTTATTTTTAAAATTCTTATGTAAAAGCTATTAGACTTGATTTGATATTTTTAGACATTCATCAAATTGTCATTTCATTATTTTAAAGTCAATCCTCTTCAAAAAACAGATGACTAATATTAATGTCATCATTACCAAGAAATAGCTCGGCTTCTGTGTGATATATTTTAGATGTATTAAAATTCTTTTTACAGCCTTGGTTTTTATAGCACATCTTAGCTAGTTACTATGTTATGGAGGCAGAGATTCTCATTCTAGCATAATAGAGGTAGCTATGTAATTCTAGAGAAGTGTTGAGTGGGAGGACTTGGCTAGCTAAAAGTGAAACATGGACTGTAAGGAACTAATTTTCTTCTGAAATTTTGGTTTGTGTTGGCAGAAAGGCAGGCTGTACATGATGAAACAAAGCTGGAAAACATTATTTTTCTTCAGTATTAACTTTTATATAATAGAAATTATTTAAAATGCTTTTTACCTTTAAAATATCTTCATGCTTGGGAATAACATTAGAAATTGTGTGTAATGATATGCTTTGGAATATTTGGACTTTACTTGTGTTTTAGTTTTTAGACAAATGTTGAGTTAGAAGTAATTTGATGCTCTGAGATTCACCATATTAGATTTTTGTCATGCAGATAATGGCTTCTATGAAATACAGTCTGCTGATAACATGATCAAAAAAAGACTCATTTCGTTGACTACTGATTGATCTGCATATGGTTCTGGATGCTATAAAAATATGTTACTTTCCATGGCCTTTTCTTTCCATTACATTTTACAAAGTAGATCATTTGTCAGGTAATTTTGTATTATTCCTGAAGGGCAATAGTGACTAAAATCTTATCAGGCTGTTACAGGTGGTTATTAAGTTCTGACCTAGCTCTTTCGATGAAATAAGCACTTTATTAGTTTTATCTTTAAATAGAATTTTCATTTTATTTTACCAATGTTCATTACTATCTTAGGTGCTATGATTTTCTAAACTAGTAGGTTACTCTTACTTCGACTGTGATTACAGAATCAGCTTTCCTATTCCATTCTGTCTCATAAAGGTTAGAGAGAAATATTCAGACAGTCAGTTTTCTTCCATTTAGATCAAAAGTGGAAGTGGAGACTTTTTTTAAAATTCGTTTTGGGAACACTTCCCATTTTATACTCTTACTGAATAAGAATATTATACTTATTTATTCTTATTAAGAGTTTGCTGAGTATTTGCAACATTTATCTTGTGCACTGTCAATGAAGTGGACATATGAAACAAATGAGTTTTCAAATTCTTTTTTAATCTGGTTCCTGTTTACCTTTTTATTTCTATTCATTTCCTCATGCATTTTATATAGTATTTATCTAACTTGACTGTGTTTTAGGTACAAGAGATTAACTTCATCAATGTTGCTTCTTAGATGTTCTTGTTTTTTTCTTTTACATAACAGTTTCCTTCATTGAGCTCCAGTCACTGTTGCAGATAGGTTAATGTTCAGCTACATAGTATTGTCTCAGACTTTCTCAGTCAAGGTTATTCCTCTGAACCAAAGAAGACTGAAAATTATTTGAGTAACTATTTTCTTAATTCTCTCAAGGATATATAATTATTATCAATCTCGTTTCATAAGATAAAAGTTATTTCATTACATACAAAGAATGCCTTAGGGTAGTGATTCTCAAAGTGTACTCTTGGGCCCAGACCCTTTCAGAGTTCCAAAAGGTCAAAATTATTTTCTTAACAATTCTAAGACATTGTTTTCTTTATTGGTTCACATTTTTTACCAAGTATACATTGGAATTTTCCAGGGGCTACGTGATATACAATATTAGAATAGATTGAATGCAGAAGCAGGTGTGAGAATCAAGTTATCTTTTATTAAACATAGCAGTAAAGATATTTGCAAAGATGTAAACAATGCTATTCCTGTCATTTTTTTGTTGTTTTAGAAAATATAGTTTTCACAAAAATATATTATTTATACTAACGTGTAATGGATTTATTCTCTTTGTAATTAATAAATAAAACAGTCCTCATTTTGCACAGTTCTATTATATACTAATTTCAGTTACCATAATTTAATTAAATAATACCAGTCTCACAACAGTTCCAATTTGAATACCACTATATATTAACTGTGAGTAATTGCATAAAATAAAATTTTGCTGCTAGCTCTTTAGTCCTCAGATCACAATATGTAAAAAACAAATGCAGGTCATGATCAGTGGCCTGCATCACATCACTTCTTAAAGTGTGTCTAGGATTGATCACTAGGCACCTGTGTTTATTAGTTCATATACAGAAATTGAAGCCTGTAGTTGTGTTGCCTCTTTGCCTCCTGGTGATAAACCCACTTGTTGTTTTATGAAAATGGATAACTGAAAGAGTGAATTTCAGGCCAGCAAAGATGAAAACATGGCAAAGAAGCAGAAAGTGATAATGCTGGAAGTGAATTGACTCTAAATGGAGTTATAGAAGAAATAGCCGATCACGGGAATGTTGATGCTGCTTCTGTTTAAGAGAATTTAGATATGCCACCAGAGGAACTTACTGAAGGCAAACACATTGATATAAATCAGTAAAGTGGTTGTGACAAAAAGGATGAAAATGTCCCAGAGGAAGTGATGCTGGCAAACCACCTCACATTATAGGGCCTCTCAGAGATTTTTACAACTTTGGAAGTGCAAAAGATAGTGTTGGAAACTGATTTAACCTTAGAAGAGAGTATGGCACATTGCCAAGATATAAAAAATATACTCACTCCATATTTTAAGTTATTCAGTGAGAAGGCAAGCGCTATTAGGACTGCTCTTGATGAGTTTTTTTTTTTTTTTTTTTACAAAGAAGACACTTTAATTCTCAAAGTTTCTAATGTTTTAAATTACAGTGTACTAAATATGCTTTCTATTTTTTCATTTCCCTATACATTATAACTGGCAGTGAGGATTTTAATGTTTTGACAAAAATTGGTAAAGGTTACAAAACAATTGTAATTTTTCTATTGTTTATTAAGATTACTTTGTGTGGTTTCTGCTTGCAGAGTAATTTTTATGGTCCTGTACTACCATGCAAAGTGAAGGCTGCCTATGTTTAAAATTTCTTGGTTTAATTTCTAATATGGTAAATATTGATAGATAAAATGCATATAAACAAATCTCTTTTTATTTCCCTTTATACTTGTTTCTTGTATTTCCTGTCCTCATTCAGTAGCATCACCAACAAGCCTAAAACCTAAGGAACAGTTTGTATTCCTTTATTTTCCTCATAGTTTACATTTCTCATACATACATTACAGCTGTCATAGTTATCTTCTTCATTCCCCCAGTTGTCTTAATTTAGGCACTTATCTATCACCCTTTATAGGGTATGACTATAAAGAGCATGGGATGACAGAACTGGTCTATATCCTGATTTTGATGGTGCTTACATGAATATATACACATGTTAAAAATTATAAACTCTTTTGTCTTGCTATGATATTGGCATGTAGATATTTCTTTCTCATTCTTTGAAAATGGTGCTTACAAATAAATCAACAAGTACTAAGTTCAATGTTTAAGGCATTGTCTTATGTGCTGAGGAGATATATACATGCAGAAGATATGTTTTTGCCCGGAAGGAATTTATATTCTAATAAGACAGACATAGAGAACACAAATAACAGCAGTAAGATAAATTGTAATTGTCTCTTAAGGGAATTACAAACAAAATGCTGGTTTGTGCTAGGAGTATTTAGGAGAATAATTCTTCATTGAAGAGATGGCATTGGAGCTGAGTCTTGGAAAATGCATTGATTTTTGGCAGTCAAAAAAAGAAGCAAAGGACATTCTGATGAGAGGGAAAAATATAGCATGCTTTTCAGATTTGTAAGTTTTCCTATTTGTAGCTCATAAAAATTTTGGATCTATTCTTCACAAATACATCCAATTTTATTAAATTTGTGCTCTAAAACTCTTAAAAGTATTTAGGTGTGACACTCAAATTTCTTGCAAGTAGTATTATGGCTTTTGAGGATTTTGGAGTTAATAATAGAGGTCATTTTTTGATTCTGATTTTAATGGCTGTAAGGACAGTAAGCTATTCCTGTCTTAGTATAGTCAATAGATAGTAGATATATAAGTGAAAAGCCTAATGTTTCTGTAAAATTTTCTATTTACAGAGTGAATTTCAATAAAGGGAATTTTCAGAATATATAATCTTATAAAATATTTCTGTAATACTTCCCCAAAATACTTTTATCTCATTTTTTTTTTCCTACTTAGATGAAATAATCAACTCTGCTTAAAAGCTATAACTCCTTTTTTTCATAGGTTTTCAGTGAAGACCCTGATTGATCGGTCCTGCTTTGAGACAATTGATGATTCTTCTCCAGAATTTAACAATTTTGCAGCTATTTTGGAACAGATTCTAAGTCACCGGCTAAAAGGTAACAGCACCAATGCATTATTCTTTCAACAACTCTCTTTTTAATAAGCTTGACATTTTAGAAACCATACACTCTGTTGTTATTTAGATAGCAGCCATGCTGCATCTTGAGAAACATAAAACTGATTTTAGAATACCAAATCCATTGGCCTGCATCCTGTAAAAGAATCTCTATTTTTGGATTTATACCCATTTCCAGGATGGATTAAAAATATTGAGTTTATTAATTTATTATAATTAAAATACAGAAATTTTTATTTATTTCTAAACTTTCTAAAATAAAAGCTTAAATTAAAAGGTAGCCGATCTTCAAAGGTTACTAGATATTTTAATCAGTTTATAGAGAAGCATCCAGGCATTAAATTTGTTTACTTAATCTTTACTTCATCAAACTTCAGAATCTTCAAGAAATTTTTAGCAGTGAGTAGGTTAAAAAAGAGGTATGTAAAGAGATGCTTAACTTTGGTTTTCTTAAAATAAATCCATTAATATATTTACATCAGAAACATAAATCTCAAAATTTTAAAGGGAAGATGGGAGCTATGTTCTTTCAAAATTATAAAATATTTTAAAATTAAAATTATATGTAAAATATAGCTGATAACATCAAGACATTATGTAGTATAAATCTTAGTAATAATAAATAATAACTTTATCACATTAATTCTGTAATCCAGTCTTCCTAAAGCAACTTGATTATGAGATGTTTTCACTTAGGTTTTTAATATCTTTATAATCTTAATGGTATAGTTTCAAATCTGCTTAATCTGCTTTTTAGTAATAGAATTTATGAGAATCTCAAATTTAGGCTGAAGGTTAATTCTATTCTGTGCTCTCTGACACCGAAAGCATCAAGTTTTACTATAAGTATTTACATCACAGTTGAACAGTCCTGGGCTTAGAAAAAGAAGTTGAATTTAACCACTTGGGGGAACAAAATTTGAATTCAGTCAGCCCTTTGCAATTTAAAATAGGGTCCATAAAATCACTAATGCTTTTCTGTTAAAAGTTGGTTATTTTGCATTTTAAAAGGGTTATTTTTTCTTATTTTTGTTGTTCTATATTCTTAAATTTTCTGCCATTAATTTGTTACTTTTTATAAGTAAATTTTTATAAAAGTAAAGGATATGAGAGTATTTTGATATTGTTGTGGTTACTATATTGTGTGGTGATCATATTTTTAGAATTTCTATATAAATTTATAAATAATACTTGACTAAAAAAAATGTATTACAGTAAAATTTACTGTATCTTAATGTTCACAAGTGTTTTATGAGAAGACCTGAATTCCCTTAATTCCATATATACCATGTAGCATATGATTGATTACTCACATAATACATAAACAACTATCAACAGAAAACAATTAGACTATGTTGAGATATCCATGCCAAGTTATTGGGTAGACTCTCTACCGTATAAATGGACCCCTTCTGCACACCTGTCTGCCATCTTCTGAATTATGCCTCAACAAAATATAGATCATAGACCTTTAGATTACTTCTTAACAATGAATGTTATTTCTGATAGCCAATGAACTACTTACTACATTGAAAATAGACGGTCTAGTTTATTTCTGGATAAGAATTCATTAGTATGATTAAGACAGTAAGAAGATGATACAATGAGACATGTTAATTTTTTAAGCTAGGTAAGATTAAATATTCAAAAACTTCTTTTAAAAAAGTACCTATAGATCGACTACTGTGGTCACTGTTATTATTATAGATATGAATTGTGAAATGATCTATAACTTTCAAGATGAGATATTTTAAAGATTCAAGTATGTAGAGGCTGCCATATATTATTTTCTATTTTTTAGTATTCTAATATGTAACAAATTGCTTTTACTTATGGAGAAGTTACATGATTAGTTTTGGAGAAGATAGTACACTATGTTCACTTAAAACAGTTATATAACAACTAATTTTTCTTTTTTTTTCACTTTGGAGAGCACAGATTCAAAATGCAAAACTTCATGGGTTGTAAGATTTACTTTTCTCCAGCTACTTTTTATTTTTAAATAAAAGAGCATTTCGGTTTTTTTTTCTTTCTTTTCTGTTTGTTGGTTTATTTTGTTATTTTAGATCTCACATGTAAGTGAAATCATACGATATTTGTCTTTTTCTGTCTGACTTAACTCCAATCAGCATGATACCTTCTAGGTCTATTCATGTTGTTGCAGATGGCAAGATTTTATTCTTTTTTTTTTTGGTCGAGTAATATTCTATTGTATATATGCACTACCTCTTCTTTATCCATTCATCCGTATGGACATTCAGGTTGCCTCTATATCTTGACTATTGTAAATAATGCTACAATGAACATATGAATTCACATGCCAGGTCAAAGTAGTATTTTGGGTTTCTTTGGATTAATACCCAGAAGTGGGATTACTGGGTTCTTTATCTCTTGTTAGAGCCTTTGTTTTAAAGTCTATTTTGTCTGGTGTTAATATTGCTACCCCAGCTTTTTTTGATCGTTTTAATTTTTATGAAGTATCATTTTCCATCCCTTTACTTTCAGTGTGTGTGTGTCTTTTGATCTGAAGTGAGTCTGTTGTATGCAGCATGTGTAAGGATACTGTTATCTTACCCATGTATCCACCCTATCTTATGATAGGAGCATTTAATCTATTTATATTTAAAGAAATCAGTTATTGATATGTAATTATTACTGTTTTATTATCATGTTTTTTATCTTTTTTTCTTCTTCTAAAAAAGTCCCTTTAACATTTCTTCTAATACTGGTTCGGTGGTGATGAACTCCTTTGTCTTTTTCTTGTCTGGGAAGCTCTTTATCTGTTCTTCGATTCTAAATGTGATAGCTTTGCCAGGTAGAATGAGTAATCTTGGTTGTAAGTCCTTGCTTTTTATCGCTTTGAATATTTCATGCCGGTCCCTTCTGGCCTACAAAGTTTCTGTTGAGAAATCGGCTAGCAGTCTTCTGGGAGCTCCCTTGTAGGTAACTAATTGCTTTTCCCTTGCTGCTCTTAAAAATTCTCTCTTTATTTTTAAGCTTTGGCATTTTAATTGTGATGTGTCTTGGTGTGGACCTCTTTGGATTCATCTTGATTGGGGTTCACTGGGCTTGTATATCTATTTCTTTCACCAGGTTAGGGAATTTTTTCGTCATTATTTCTTCAAATAGGTTTTCAATTCCTTGTTCTCTCTCTTCTCATTCTAGCACCTCTATGATGCAAATGTCGGTATGCTTAATGTTGTCCCAGAGACCCCTTAAACTATTTTCTTTCTTTTTTTTTTTTGGATTTTTTTTCTTGTTGCTGTTCTGGTATTTTCTGCTGCCTTATTTTCTAAATTGTTGATTAGATCCTCTACTTCCTCTAATCTACTGTTGATTCCCTCTAATGTATTCTTCATTTCATTTATTGTATTCTTCATTTCTGACTGGTTCTTTTTATGTGTTTCAGCTCCATTTTTATGTTTTGTACCTCTTTATTAAAGTTCTCACTGAGTTGGTCTTATCTTCCCCTAAGTTCATTGAGCATCCTTATAACCACTGTTTTGAACTCTGCATCTGGTAGATTGCTTGTCTCTATTTGGTTAAGTTCTTTTTCTGGAGCTTTGTTCTGTTCTTTCATTTGGGACATGTTTTTTTGTCTCCCTATTTTGGTGCTCTCTCTGTGTTTGTTTCTATGTATTGGGTAGGGCTGCTATGTCTCTTGGTCTTAGTAGCCTTATGTAGCAGGTGTGCATAGTGGTACAGTCTTCCATAGTTACCTGAGCTGGATACTCCAGATGTGTCCTTTGTGTGGGTTGTGTGTGCCCTCCTGTTGTAGTTGAGCATTGGTTGCTCTTTGTACGTCATTGGTAGGGTAGGTATTGACCCTCAGGCTGATGGGTTCTGAGGATTGGCTGGTGAGAGGCTGGCCCTATGGAGCAGGATTTATGTTAGCAGGACTCTGGTGCCTGACCAAAGGGCATTTAGGTTAACTTAATTTTTTCTGGAGTAAGATAAAATCCACCCACAGGCACAATATAGGCTGTGCTAATACAGGTAAAGTGGAGAGCTGAAACAGTTATCTACCTAATTCATTCTGAAAGCTCCATTATTAAAGAAAAGGCAGCTTTTAAAATCACATACTTTAATCTTATTTAAAGTAATCCCTCAAGAAGATGATGATATTACTTTTTTTGGAATATAGCTGAGAACTAGGACTTAATCACAGAATATTAACTTCAAAAAGCCCTTAGTTCTGGTAATTTGTTCAGTAATTTTTGAACTTCCATTTATTTTAAAGCATAATCCTTCTCTCAACTCACTCTCACCTCTGCTAATAGATACTGGATATCTAAGTGGGATGTCATATTGAAGCAGGGTGGGGAAATCAAAAATTTTGTCTGCTCAGCAGCAATTGCACCCACCTTCTGGAAGTCCACAACACCGCTGCAGATAGCACCATAGATCATGGATTTAAAATCACTGCTGTAGTCTCTCTCCTACTGAAGTAGTCCACTCAGTGATATTTCTAAATGATGGACATGCAGTCTTTATTTTAATATATCTGGAAACTTAGGATAGTAAGGCAGTGCATCCCATTTTTGTATAGTTCAGATTGCTAGAAAGTTCTCACATATATGATATCAGGGTATCTAACTGTACTTTGATCTATTTTCTGCCACTTTTTAAATTGTGAGTCTAATAAATATTAAAAGATTGCTATTATATAACCCTTTTTACTCACTTCCTCTTTTTCATTCTTCCAGTAAGGTTATCCCTAGTTCTTTCAGTCTTCTGGAACTACCATAATCTTAGTTTTTCTTCTTGATATCACTGGTTTGTTAGTATTGCTTTTAATATTTGGTACACAGATCTGAGGAAAGTGCTTCAAATAAGCTAACTTCTGTATTAGTCAGACTTTTAAGATTGCATTTACATTTGATCTCACTTCACATTTTTGGTCTATATTGAAATTGAGGCCAAGTAAAATTCTGAGGCTGTTTAAAAATTGAACTATTGCTTGTTTCATTTTTAGGTTCT